GATATATCTTGCCTTTGATTTTGTCCATTCAAGACAATTTCTATAGCCACTTTCTTGGCTTAAAAATTTATTAGTGTGATCTTCTTCTTTCTCTTTTATATGAGATGTCACATTCACTTCAGAGAATTGACCAAAACTCAATTAGATATGATTCGAATAAAAACTCGAATGATAAGGCATGAAGATCATATTTAAAACATCTTATGCATATAATTTGTGAGTGTTATTGAATCAATAAACATACATAAGTATGCCATCAAATCATAAGTCTCATATCTCTATAATATTAGAAGATAAGTACATTTAAGAGAATATCCAAAATTGATCTAAATATTACTGAAATTACCATTGCCTTATAACTAAATTGATTCAATTGAAAAGAGTAATTTTGGATAGATGCAATGGCAATTTTAGTAATTTTTAGATCAATTTTGGACATTTTTTTAACTAGATCCGACTGCATACGCGGATCCTCTACATGACCCGGTTCCGACCTGTTTTCATTAATGGATTTGTATAATTTATTACGAGATCTCCGCCGTTAGTTGCGATGATTTTTTTATCGCTTTTAAGAGTCAAAATTTTTGATAAAAACAAAGTTGTGAACAACGAAAAGAGAGAGAGTTGCATCCATCCAATTACTTCTTTGATTCGATATCCATATATTAGTAATTGATCATTGATGTGTTTACAATGTTTCAGCAAGTTGATCGGAGCAAGAGACTACACAAGCGAAGGCACTAGGGACAGAGAAGGCCACGGTACACACACCGCATCCACTGCGGCTGGGAATGCAGTCGCGAACACAAGCTTCTTTGGAATCGGCAAAGGAACGACAAGAGGTGGCGTTCCGACCGCTAGAATCGCCGCATACAAAGTCTGGAGAAATTTCTGGGTTTCGATTTGGGTGTGAGGTAAATTTCTGAGTTCACATCAAATCAATAGATTTGCAAAATCGTGGCATGATTAAATGCCAAATCGATATTAATTTTTCATGTTTTTTAATTCATTCACCGAGAAATTGTGACGCCGGAGATTACTGTCGCTGATACTGCCGGCGAATTGGAATCGACGGAGAAGACGAAAAGGTTAAAAACGTGAAGGTTGAAAAATCGATTACAAAAGCAAATTTTATGGGCCTCATATTTTGTGTTGGGTTTGACTAAAAATTTTGAACCTTATAATTTTATGGGCCTCATAATTTGTTATTGGTTTAACTAAAAATTTATGGGCCTCATATTTTGTGTTGAGTTTAACTAAAAATTTATGTTATTTTCTATTGAAAGATTTGGTCATATGACCACGATTTGCAAAATCATTATCCACCATTTAGGATCGATTAAATGCCAAACCGATATTAATTTTCCATCTTTTGTTAATTTACGGGGTTATTGGTAGATGGTTTTTTAAAGATTTTTAGAATTTTAAGAATCCATTGTTATTGGTTTATGGATTATGGCATTCTTAATGAAATCTTTTGTTATTGGTTTATAGATTCCTAAATTCTAAATAAAATCCATTGTTATTGAAAAAATYTAGTTACCAATGATTCTCTAATCCTATTAAAATCTCATGTTATTGGGACATGGATTCTACACATTTTTACTCATAGACCTCAATTTTCAAAATACTTGGGATATCCATAAGATTCTTCAAATTCATATATAAAAAATAATAACACACACTCTCACAAACACACGTGAGCTTGATCTCATTAAAAAAAAAAGTCTAGATGCTATCATGTTCTTCCCAACCAAGAACTCATTATTCTTAAAACAAAAAGAGAGCTAATAATACTCATCGTCATGGGTTACTTCCGCTTCCCACTGCATCTGTCCACATACTAGATGCTATCAAGTTTCTCCAGTTATTAGCATATTCCCTTTGCTGAGATTCAASAGGACCTATCTCTATGTTCTCTTCAAAATTATTTTCTTCATTGTTTGGGTTACTTACTTCTTCAGGAAAGGCATCTGATCGACACTCTTTACGTAAGAAGTTGTGTAATCCAGCACAAGCTAAAACCAACTCTRCTTGCGTCTTAAAAGAGAATGGAGGCGCGGATTTGAAAATTAAAAAACGAGATTKGAAA